GGGTCTCACTATGTAGTTGCGACTGACCTGGAACTCACTATGTAGCCCAGGCTGGTCCCGAATTCACAGAGATCCTCCTGCCTCAGCCTCCCGAGTGCTGGGATTACAGGTGTGCGCCACCACGCCCGGCTTTTAGAAAGACTTTTGAACCAGGCTACATGTCAACAAAGCTGCTTTCCCAATGTGGTCAGCACTCACTGGCCTGCGGACGACCACGGAATGGCACCAGCACAGCACAGCCCATACAAGAGAGGGGTGCATCCTGCTTCTGCAGCCTGGCCTTGGTCCGGCAGGTCTGTGGTCTGACATGGCTTGGTCCCTTCCTGCACCCAGGATGCTCGCCAGTTTTCTTGCCCAGCTAGGTTTGGGATTCGTAGGCCTGGAGCCTACCCCGGCAATGCAGCCTGTGCTCCTTGAGGCCCCCACTGTCCAGCCGCTGTAGCCGCAGCACGGGCGTGGGAGAAGCAGCGCTGCCCAAGTCGCCGCCTGCTGCTCAGAACAAGGACCTGCACGCCCGCTGCCCTGCGTCTCCTTCACCCACCGGCCAGGTCGAGTCTTGGAGGGAGGGGGTAGAAGAAGGCAGGTGCAGGCAGGAGGGCTCACTGGCCGTGCTGCTCATCCTAAAGGGCTGAGGTAGAGCTCCAGGCCAGAGAACATTCTGGAAGGCGGCATGGCGGTGGGGGTGGCGTGGATCTCCTGCCGCCAGGGTGTTGGCGTTGGTGGGGCGCTGCCTGCAGAGGGCGCACGGTCACTGCTGGGCGGGGCCTGTTGCCTAGCAACCGAGGGACTAGGAGGCTCTGGGGGCGGGGTTAGAGGCCTTAATGTGCCAGGTCCTTCAGCCCCCCAATCCCGCCGGAGATGTGATGGGGGGCTTCCTGGGAAATCGGCATCATGAGCCTCTCGCCTGCTCTGACCGCTACTCTCATCAGTCGTCGTCGCGCACGCTTGCTGTGACAGCGATGCCCTCCTTTGCCTTCATCGGCCACCCCCAGCCAGGGCTGTGTCCCACTGCTCTTCCTGCCTCCTTTCTTGTCTGTCTGCGCAAAGTGCGTGGGGAGCTGCGCCTCGCAGTTCCCTGGCGTCTTCGAAAACTTAGGAAACCAGTCCTGAATCCCTCACCTGGACCAGGAGGCTCTGCAGGGCCTGCCTAGCCCTCCGCCACCCTCTGTCCCTTCGTGGCTGTCTCTCTCACAAGGCTGTGGGTTTCCTGGCAGGAGGGACGAGTTCTCATTTTTCCCTGGGAGCTGGGGCTCGGTGTAGGTCAGGCTAGTAGCTACGGGGCCCCTGTTGCGAATGAATGGGTGAGCTTCGGGGCGTCTCGCAGACTCTGAGTGCAGGTGCCTTCAGTCACCGTGTGGCATCCTTTGCCTTACATCTTTGCCCCTTCCCTCCTGCCCCACCCAGGTAAAAGTTTTTGGTGTTTTTTTTTTTTTTTCTTTTTTGGAAAGGGAAGCATAGTGAAGAATATGGATTTTCTGAGTCACATAGTTTGTAAGTGGCAGAGCCTCAGGTGGAGCAGAAGTGTGGTTGAGGGTAGAAGCCAATTGTAGTTTTCATGCTCATTTTGTCCTAAGTTGTCATCCTGAGATTGTTTTGAGCGCAATATGCTCGACTGCACCCTAGTTTCTGGGTACGTGGGGAGAGAAGCAAGCACCTTGCCCACCCCACTGATCATTTCGCACAGCACCTCTTAAGAGAGCACTACAGATGGTGGACAGTCTGTGGGATGAGCCCTCGGTCCCACTGGGGTTTCCATGAGCCCCGTTGCTTTAGCTGAGATTGGCTGAATGTTTGCATTTGTGCCAAGGACGGATCAAGGGAGGAAGTGTCTTCCAAGGCTGCACCTCTGGGTCGTGGTCCCCTAAACTCCACCGGAGCCAACCCACCACAACTTTCCCAGATCTGCCTGGAGGTTACAAAATATGTCCCAGGCTGAGGCAGGGGATGAGTTTCTCTCCTTCGGTCCTGTGGACTTTCACAGCTTCTGCTCCTGGGCACTGTGACGCTCAGTGGAGGCACCCAAATACCTCATCTTACAGAGGACCAAGCTGGGTCTGCAGAGGTGAGTCCTTGCCCTCCACGGGGCTGGCTCAGTGGCAGAGCTGGGTTAAATTCCAGTTCCACTGAATCCAGGGCAAGGTTCTTACCCACACTGTGCTCTCCTGCTTCTCAGAGAGGGCGACTGGTGAGTCTTGAGTCATGGTGCAGCTACCACCCTGCAACCCCGCCCCCACCAGGGCTTACTGACCAGCTGCCATCCAACCAGCACAGCTGGGTCTCCGTGAGTTTAGACAGGCTGAATACAAACAAAAAGTAGCTCAAGTCTTACATAAGGAGCAAAAATCATCTTTCAAAAATTGTTTAAAACTTTCATTTCATCTTGCAAATGTTGAAGAAAGAAGCAGGATGGTAATTCTTTAAAATAAGTATTAATAGTGTATTAAAATTTAAGTTTAGACTCTTATTTTTAAAATTTCCTTCTGCTTACTTTTAAAAAATTTTATTGGTACCTTGAAGATATACATAATGATAACATTCATCATAAGGAATTTGCATCGATATATCTTGCTTCTTCTTTTTTTTCTGTTCCCTTCCCCTCTCTTCAACCCCTTTCACCCTTATTCACAAAAGCTTTGTTTCCATTTTTTCCTACTATTCTCTTGTTTTTCTTGTCCCTTCCTTCCTTTCTCCCTCCTCCCTTGTTCCCCTTCCCATTTAAACATTTTCTTCCCATTTCCCAGTATCTATTATACATTTTGGTCCTCATTTACACTTTTGATTTCTCACACCAGAGAAACAATGCAGTGTTTAAATATATGTGTCTGATTTATTTCACTTAAGAGTATGGTCTCGAGGTGCATCCATTTAGCTAGAAATGTCTCACGCTTATCCTTTATGGCAGAGTACTGTCCATTGTATAAAAAATACATCTTTGTCCATTTATTAGTTGATAGATATTTGGGCTGTTTCCAAGATTTAGCTATTACTCACTGTGCCTATTGCTGTAAACATGGGCGTGCATGTACTGCTGTGGTATGATGCTTTTTAATTCTTTCAGGAAGATACCAAGAAAGGGAGCAGCTAGGATAAATGGAACCTCTAGTTTTCGTTTTTTGAGGAATCTCCACACTAATTTCCACAGTGGTTGCACCAAGTCTATACTCCCACCAAGAGTAGAGCAGTAGAGAAGGGTTCCTTTTTCCCTATGGCCCTACCAGATTTATTATTGGTTGCTTGCTTGCTTGTTTGCTTTCTTTCTTTCTTTCTTTTTTTTCTTTTTTTTGTATCAGGGATCAAACTCAGGTCCTTGCACTTATGAGGTGGGCAGCAAAACCACTGAGCTAAATCCCTGGCCTGTTCTTTTTTTTTTTTTTTTTTTTTTTTTTTAGAGGGATAAAGCAGACGGGGATGGATGTACTTCATACTTCAGATGTAGTACAGAAATATGCTGAGAAACATACACACACACGCATGAAACACAGACACCATAAAATGGTCAGATCCAGAATGTTCCTGTGGTGGAATGTCCAGGAAGGATGCCAGAAACATAAGCAGATTAAGTCTGAGAGGAC